ATTCTATGAATAATACTCATCAGCATAATATGAAGAATAAGGATTAAATGGGAAATAATAAGGTCAGGTAAACAAAGGATAAATACTTGGTAATAAACAATGAACTGTCATATAAATGTATTTTTCATATGTGTATACATGCACACATGTATTTATATACATATACACATACCTTTTAAGAGTGAACACTATTGCAAACGTTTTTAAATGTATAATTCCATAAGCTTCCTTTCCCATTAAAGCATTCTAAAGAAGTAAGCATACTGGGCTCAAAAAATGAAGGAGATGTGTGTGTGTGTGTGTGTGTGTGATGTGGGAACATGAAAAAACAAGAACAGGGGCTCCTGGGTGACTCAGTGGGTTAAGCCTCTGCCTTCAGTTCAGGCCATGATCTCAGGGTCTTAAGATCGAGCCCCACATCGGGCTCTCTGCTCAGCAGGGAACCTGCTTCCCCTTTTTTCTCTGGCTGCCTACTTGTGATCTCTCTCGCCCTGTCAAATAAATAAATAAAATCTAAAAAATAACAAGAACATAAAAATAAGTCAAACACGAGATTTTCCATTTTCTTCAAATTCTGACTTGAACTGTGTTTGTTTTGCTTGATCCATTTATAGTCTCCAGTTCTTGCCAGTACAGTTAGAATGATCCCAACACAATTTTTAATGCCTTGTCTCGTTTGCTCTTTGGTATGGTTTGCAATTTGCAGTCACTTTAAGGTCAGTGACCCATTCGTTTGAAGTTATCTTTCTGAGGCCTTATTTTTGGGGACTGCTATCAAATTAGGCATAAGTCATTTTTCAGCAAAAGAGGTGACATTTTATTTCTGTAAGATCACATAATAACCAATTTTGTGTGAAAGAATGGATATTTCCTGTACAACTTAAAAAACATATAACAACCTGTCCTAGGTTTCCCAACCACACTGTACACAAGGCAAGAGGGAGCTTTCATTTGCTTTTTCCTTTTGCTTTTTTTTTTTTTTTTAAACAAACCTGTATTAAGAATACTCTGTGCTGTCCACTTTGTACACATTATCTCTAATCTTTAAATAATCTGGAAAAATAATGATTATTGTCCTTATATTCCTGATGAGGAACCTATAACTCAGAGGTTTCAGTAACTTGTCCACAGTCCCACAGCCAGCAAGTGTTCTTGGACATTAGATCACATGTTCTTTTGTGACTCCTTTTCTTTTGCTCGCTGGCAAACTATTTAAATGAAGTAGGTTATGGAATTTAGAAGTATGTTCCTTTGCAAATACAACAGTCAGAGTAAACCAGAAAAGGAGACGACAGATCATACTGGTTAGCATAGTCTCTAGAACAGGAAACACGAATTCTGTTTTCTTTGTAGTGGTTAGGGGTTATGTGTGGATTACATGAGCTTAAGTAGTTGCTGTGACTTTTACCAGCTCTTTAGAAGTAGCACATTACTAACCTGAGACTCAGTTTACTTACCTACACAATGGAAGGGTAGTAGTATCTGTTTTGTAGTGGCATTCTGAAGATTAAGTAGGAAATAGACAGTGCTAAGCACATTGTCTGGCACATGGAAAGCAACTGCAAATATAAGCTAAGTAATCAGTTAATACTAGCGTTGACTCAATATTCAACAGACAGTTGTGATTCAAGTGAGGCTGACAAAAAACATGGCTTAAATGTAATGGCCAACAGCCTTGTGACTCAAAGTGTGTTCCCAGAGAAGCAGAATCAGCATCACCTGGCAGCATTCTAAATGCCAACTCATGGGCCCCACCCAGATGTCCTGAATCAGAATCTCTGGAACAGGGCAGAGCTGCTGTGTGTTAACAGACTTTCCAGACGCTTCTTATGTGTGCTACTGTGAAAGTCACTGACCCAGAGTTTAGGAAGTATATTTAATAATTTTCCATATTGCCTACCTCTTTATTAACAAACATGTGTGAACTGATAAACACTGCTACTCAGTTATTTAATCCTTTGCTATCCACACACAGGATGCACTTATAAAGATGCTGACGACTACAATTCCTTGGGAGCAGTGATGGTCTGTCATATATGTTTGGCCTCAGACTATAGGACGCATATGGGGAATTCAAGACATAGTTTTACTTGATTAATTGGTTTTGCTAAGTCTTTTTTTTTTTTTTAAAGATTTTATTTATTTGACAGAGAGAGATCACAAGTGGGCAGAGAGGCAAGCAGAGAGAGAGAGAGAGAGGGAGGGGAGGAAGCAGGCTCCCTGCAGAGCAGAGAGCCCGATGTGGGACTCGATCCCAGGACCCTGAGATCATGACCTGAGCTGAAGGCAGAGGCTTAAACACTGAGCCACCCAGGTGCCCCTTGCTAAGTCTCTTTTAATTGACTGGCAAATCTACTTACTTTACTATGTTTATACCATCAAAGTATAAATTTCAGAATACTTTATAGATATATAAGAGAAATATTTTTGTCTCAGAAATATCGTTCATTTGTTTTTTGGTGGGGTAGAGGGTGGACTTGTTTGGACTTGTTTACTTGTTTGTTTGGTTATGTGTTTGACTCTGAAAAAGTGCCATGGAAAGAAAAAGATGAAAGAGAAACAAGTGAATCAGTCCTATTAACACATGTCACACTGCAGACTCTCAAAGGAGAATTCGGTAAAATGTCCAGTATTTAGATCCATAAATCAGAACATGCTATAGAGAACAATTACACAATAATTGTTTTATTTTTCTCAGAAAATGCACACTGAAGTGCTAATTAAACTTCAAGCACAAAGATCCAGATTGCTAGCTCTGCTATAATCATGATTCTGATCACTGTCAAGTACTGCTTAAGTACCTAGGATGTTGGGGCATTATGTTATGATACTGCAATTTATTAAATTTATGTAACATATTTAGGAGATGGGGAAAAACAATCAGGTATGAGCTCTAATTACCATTTTTTTAAAGTCTTTATTTACACTTGAGAGCAGCATGGCATGTGAAAAATAGCTAGGCCACTGTGGTTGAATAGACCTGAGTGACTGTGGATAAATGTCCATCATCATAGCACAGTGTTAGGAAATTCCAGCACGGTGCTTATTACAGAAGATGTGCTCAATGAAAGTTATTACTGTTGTCACAGCTATGATAATGATAATGATGATGATGATAATGTAACTTTGCAGGTGCATAAGCATTTGACAGACCAACCCTCTCACTTCACGCTGACAAGTAAGGAACTGCTTATGTCATCGTTCAGACATATGAAAGGAGGCTGAAAGGTTTTCTCTATCTCCAATTCCTAAATGCTCCAAAAATAGTGTAATTATGTCTGGAAAAGTCAACCTTAAAGGGAATTGCCTCTTAGAAACCCAAAGAAATAAACACAGAATGCCAGACCATCACAACATCATATAAAATGCTCCTAAACCAGACATTTTAGCTCAGTGGCCAGAATTCTTGACTTAGAAGGGCAACATTTTCATTGTAAAGTGTTTATAGCTTAATGGAGTTTACTATGAGCAAATTAGAAACAAAGCAGAGTGACTAAGATCATGACCTCTACATTTAATTTAACTTACTCAGATTGCTAATTCTGCAAGTCGATTAATAAAGAATGTACACTGCTACATTTTTGAAGGTGTAGTCATATTATAATCATACAGACCACTAACTTGCTTTATTCTTAAAATAAATGCTGCATCTTAAAGAAAGAAAAGTATGGGTCTAAATCCACTTTCATTCATCCAAGTTTAGGAAGCCAAGGACATAAGAACAAAGGCTTTGGCTTCATCAGATAGTCTAAAGGTTAGCCCAGCTGCATCACTTACTCAGTGCAAGCTATTTAGCCTTCTTGAGAATCAGTTTCTCCATCTGTACAATGGGATTGATAATAGTATGTACTTAGTAGGATTGTTATGGGGACTAAAGAGAATAATTTTACATGTGCCTTGCACACAATAAATGCTCAATAAAAGTACACTTTTATTGTATTTAAGTTACACATAAAATAAGTAGGACCAACATTCCATTCCTTCAAATTACCCTTAATTAATAACTCTTCATCTTAATATTGTGTTGTCCTAGACCAAAAACAACTCAAAAAAGAAAAAATAGTAACAAAGGGAAATCTCTTTCAGGAATAGAATTATGGAAATGTCAAAGATAAGGTTGCAAAGATTAACGATGAATCAATCATTCAAAAATGCAAATACAGGATATTAATTGATTTCAAAAATATTTTCCATTTCTATACAAAGATTTTATACAACCTTCCCACAAATTATATTACCACTGTAAACCTAAGTCTCCCTTCCTAATGTTTGGAGCCATATAACATATTCCTTATCCTCATTTTCTTTTTTAGCTCTGTAAGCCAAAATACAAGTCTAAAGTATCAGAGTTTAGCTTCAGAGAATATTAAGTGGAACCATTCTATTTCAGGAATATTTATTTTCCCATAGTCACGTTATGTTTCCATTTAAAAAAATAAAGGCAAATGCATTAGATTTTTAGAAAGGGTGTTTTGTGTGTGGGGGGCAGGGGGGGTGGGTGTGTTTTTGGTTTTTGGGGTTTTTTTTTTGGTCAGCTTTGGAAGAAGAACATGACAAAAGAACACCTCATCTTTGGGAAAACAGAAAAAGCAAAAACAGATCATCACGAACAGAAACGAAATTACACAGTAGAGCTGAGCTACTAAGATATAATTGATTCTGCCAGGATAAAAATGGAACAGAACCAAGAGATTATAATGAGAATCATTTTGGTACTAAAGAAGACCCCTTTAACAATGGGTGTGCATTCAAATCCTAGTTTGATCATTATAGACTCATTTCCTTGCTCGTGTTCCCATGATAAAGGCCTTAAGAGAAGCACTGGCATTTTAAATTGCTCAGTCTCACTTGCTTATTTTCTTTTTCCCTCCTTCTTAGGTAAAATTATATTCTTATGTTATTAGAAGAATGTTTTGGAGAACATGTACTGTGACTATATAGTGGCCAATACTGAAGGCAACATTAGAGGATTAGGGTATTGATAGGGGAAGAGGAATTACCTGTGGGCATTTGCTCCAAGGTCCCCACTCAGACATGATACATTCACTGGGACACAGAAGAGAGCAGGACTGGGTTTCTGGGGGAATTTCATCCTGGCTGCATAGGCTATTATCCACAGCTCCCCCTTCACTATCAGCAGCATTCACACATCTGCAAGGCAAGATCAAGGTTAAAACAGTGGAGACTTAAAACAGTGGAGAGCAAATATAAAGTAGTTATGATATGCCATAGTTACTTACCAAAGAAAATTAAATGTAAAAAAAGACTGGCAGAGAAATCAAGGGGAAAAAAATTCCTTCTTCAGCCAGTTGACCTTTATTGAGTGATAACCTTTCAGTTAGCAGAGCAAGAGAGAACAACGGGAAGACTAGAGTCCACCGGCATTCTTAAACAACTCTCCATGTCAAGAGACCTACGCTATTTTTACTCAGGTCCAGCACAGAGTGAATTTTCTTTTTACTGTAACAAATCTTGAAGGCTCTTCTTCTCTGAATGAGTTCATCACTTTGTAACAGTGAGAGCCTTCCTAGTTCCTGTGACTCTCTTAGACCTTTCCTACACTTGTATCTCACTTCATCCAAACTTCCCTAATCTCTGTCCAACACATTTAAGGTCATGGCCAAGGAATGTGAAACATAATTGAACATGTCTTTCTTTCAGGTATTTTCTGCATTTCAGTATGGAATTTTGGTATCACAAACCAAAGGGCAATATGTAAGCATTTTCATGTGCCACTTGAACACAAGGTATACAGACACTTGGCCTAATCTGTATTGGCCTTTGAGATAAGTGCTGGCTAATGTGAGATAAATAATCATGTTATTGATTCAATCAAATCAAAATCAAAGTGTTAAGACCACTATATATCCATCAGAATGGCTTCAGTAAAAAAAAATATGGAAAATATCAAGGGTTGGCAAGTACATGCAGCAACTATAACTCTTCTTACTCCGCTGGTTGGAGCATAAACTCTTTGGAAAACTAGTTGGCAGTATCTACTAAATGGCAACATATACGTAACACATGACCCTACAATTCTATGCCCATTTACATACACAAAAGAAATGTGCACCAAAAAAGAAAAAAAAAATGAAAGAAAATATTCGTATTAGCACTATTTGTAATCATCCAAACCAGAAATAGTCCAAATATTCAACAATGTCAACAGATAAATATATTGTGGTAAATGGTGGGAATGTATGAACTATTGTGACATGGTAAAACATGAGTGACATTCAAATATTCAATGCTGTACAAAAGAAGCTAGACACAAAAGAATACGCTGTATGATCTCATTCATAGAAAGAAATAGGCAATATTCATCCTGCTGTCAGAAGTCAGAACAGTGGTTACCTTTGGGGGAATGGTTACTTACTAGGGGCTTAAGGCAGCCCTGGTAATATTTTGTTTCTTGGCCTCTGAGTTGGTTACACAGCTGTGTCCCTGTTGTGAAAATTAAGTTAACCATACTCTATGAGTGGGTATTTCTCTATATTTATATTAAATCTCAATTAGAATTTTATGTTTGAATTATCTTTAAAAAATGTTTAAGAAAGACTAGCTACATGCAAGCCTCTTTTTCTAGGTGTGGGATACAAGCTTAGTATTTGTTAATAATGATTCATTCAGTAAATATTTTTGAGGACCGACTGTGTACCAGGCCCTTGCCTAGTTGCTGGCGTACACACCAAAAAAAAAAAAAAAAAAAAGAGAGAGAGAGAGAGAGAAGATCCCTGTTGTTATGACACTTTTCTTCTAGTGATAAATAATCGAAGTGAAGGTGAAAATGACAATGACAATGAGATAAATAGTGCCATTTGCTGATCTGATCACTTGAAACACGATGCCACAGCCAAGGAGTAAGCATTTTAAGACAGATATGATGGAGAGCTATTGGTGTCCCCCAAATCATGCTAAGCTAGAATGAAATATCCTATGCATTATGAATTTCTTTTATACATATAATTTTTTTTTAAAGATTTTTATTTATTTATTTGACAGAGAGAGATCACAAGCAGGCAGAGAGGCAGGCAGAGAGAGAGGAGGAAGCAGGCTCCCTGCTGAGCAGAGAGCCCGATGCGGGGCTCGATCCCAGGACCCTGAGACCACGACCTGAGCCAAAGGCAGCGGCTTAACCCACTGAGCCACCCAGGCGCCCCCATATAATTTTTTTTTAATTCAGGAAAATTGCAGAGTAATCTATTACGTTGTACAAAACAAAGTAACCTTTATGAGCTTGACTTGGCAAAGTAATGAAAACCTGTACATCGTATAAACAAGGTTAACATACAATGCTAGAAGATGTTAAGTAATGTCTTCTAATGTAAGAAGGCATGGTACAGAATCATCTATGGACTTTAATTTATTTTGTGGTAATAGTCAATAGTGGAAGGAGGGACCACAAAATAGCTTATGCATCTTGTTCCGGACAAACTTAAAAGCTGGAAATTGCTTTCCTTCTTGCCTGCACACTCTCTGTTGATGTTCTTTTATTATTTCACTGAGAAAGAAGACATAGACTTCTGGTCAGTGGTGTCCAGCTGAACGTATGCACCAGTCTTTGTTCACTCTTTTTTTTTTTTTTTTAATAGATTTTATTTTATTTTTTTAAAGATTTTATTTATTTGACAGAGAGAAAGATCACAAGTAGGCAGAGAGGCAGGCAGAGAGAGAGGGGGAAGCAGGCTCCTTGCTGAGCAGAGAGCTCGATGCGGGGCTCGATCCCAGGACCCTGAGATCATGACCTGAGCTGAAGGCAGAGGCTTAACCCACTGAGCCACCCAGGCGCCCCTTTGTTCACTCTTAATATACCACAAAAACAATCGTAAAGTCATTTGTTACCAAAAAACAGAAAAAATCCACAAAGAAAACTCAAAAACTCAAGGTGGGGGGAAAGACATTACCCTACAAGGACAAAGAACAAAGACAACAAATGGAAAATAGAAAAGCTGAAATACCAACACTCAAGGAAAAACAAAGAACACAACTCCATTTATACCATAGAAAACATAAAAAATTCAGGAGCTTGTGTCACCAAGTACTTCTGGAAATGTGAATAAAGGTGATGCTGAAAAATTGGAAGATATACTGAAAGTATGTTTAAGAGGTACCTGGGCCCTCAGATCTCCCATAATCCACAGGGCTAGGTGACGGCCCCTCCCTCACCTCTCCCCTCCCCCCCCGCCCCCCCGCAGGTAACTGAATGTTTATTATTTGGAGAGGGTCATAAAAATAGTCAGTCTTTGGACTAGAGAGCATAGCTAACTTAAGGATGAGAACATCATACTGAAAACAAGGGTTTGTGTACAAGTTAACACACTGGAAGGACTACCACAAACCTAGTGGTTTAAAGAACAAAAACTATTTTACAATTCTGTAGTATAGAAATGCAACACGGATCCCACCAAGGTAACATCAGTGCCTTGGTAGAGCTGGATTTCCTTCTGGGGGCTCTAGAGGAGAGACTACTTCCTTACCTTTTTCCATATTCCAGGGAATGGCCTCTTTCTCCATCTTCAAAGCCATTCAGACTTGCATCTCTCTGTGCCTTGCATCTCTGATCACATTTTCCTTTTTCTCTCCCATTTCCCCTTTCTCATTTAAGAACACTTGCAAAAAAAGTGTCCCTGCCCACACAACCAGGTATATCTTCCAGGCTCAAAATCCTAATCTAATCACATCAGCAAAGTTCCTCTTACTATAAAAAGTAACAGATTCACAGATTTCAGGGATTAGAATGTGGACGTCTTTGTGGGGGGGGGCAATTCTGTCTATCTCATCAACAACCTTCTTTCATTAGGTTCCAAAAACACTGGCCGCTAGTATTATCTATTTCACACCTGATTTATGAAAAGACTTTTCTAGGGGTTCTGATAAGCCCAAAAGTAAAGACTTAAAAAGACTAAAATTGAAGGTATTCCCAAACAAAAATGCCCCTGCAGTTACATATCCTGGATCATCAATTTCCATCCCATCTCCCTTCAACTGTCACCTCATTTCTACTGAAAACTCAGTACAGAACTGTTTTGAAGCATATTTGCTATTCCCAAGCCTTCCCCCTATTTCCTTCATGACTCTCTCTTGAATTTCGTTTAATCACACTTTTAGTACCTTTCCAGAGAAACCTCTTATCTGGGTCATTAACAGACTCCCCCCATTGCCAAACTCAATGGTCAACTGTCATCTTAGTAAATTTCTGAGAACCTTTTGAAACAACTGATGACTATCTTTTTCTTGAAAATCCCTCTTGCTTTCCCATTTTTTTGCTTTTCCTCATTCTCCAACACCTCTTGCTCAGTCTCATTTGTAAAGCCTTCCTTTGCTATCATCCATGAATATTGGAGTTCCCCAGGGCTCAATTTCTTATGTCTTTTTTTATCAATATATATCAAATGTATAAGCTGTTGATGACCAAATTTATACCACTGTCTCTCTCTGAACTCCAGTCTGTTTTGTCACAGTTGGAAGGCAAATTTAATGTGTTCAAAAGCTAGCTTTTGATTTTCCTCTCTAACTTGCTTCTAATATTTCTCATCTCAACAAATGGCACCATTATCCCTATGATTGTTAGGCACTGAAACCTAGCGGTCATCTTTGATGCTTTTCTTTCTTCCATGTTCTACAATCACTTTATAAATAAATCCTACAGTCTGTGCCTTCCAAATATAGTCTGAATGTGACCTTCTCACCACCTTCATTATTACCAAGCCCAGTCCAACCATCAGCGTCTCCCACCTGGAATTTTGGAATGTCTTTGAAACCTTCATCCCTGCTTCCATTTATATATCCCAAAATATACCCCTTCTCTACATCCATAAGGTCCTTTCAAATGTAAATTAAGACGATGTCATTTCCTCTGTCTCAAACCTTTCATGGCTTCAAGTTGCAGTTAGAAAAAAATCCTTTTACCTTGTTTGAGAAGATTGTGTGATTTGAGTCCCGGCATCAGCTATACAGAACACTTTGTTATTCATCTTGTTATAAAAAGCCAAGAAGATTTCTGCTTTGGATACTCTTTCTTCCTGGGATTTCTTTCAGTAGTTCTTTATATTCATTCAGGTCTCTCATGTTATTCTCTGCTTGGATATTTTCCTGGCCAACCTCTCCAGTCTTCTCCATCAATCCAACCCAATTTTATTTTTTTCTTGGCATTTCATAGCAAAGGCATTCCATTACATTCATGTGTTTATCTTTTTCTCTGCCACTATAAGTTATTTGAGGATATAAACTTTTTTGTTCACTTTTTTTATCCCCAGTGCCTAGACTGCCTGATAAATAGAATATTTTTTGAATTAATAAATTATTGCAATCCAAGATGAACCATAAGAATATCCTCCAGTTTTGAAGTTTCAAGAAAGAGGATAAGCTATTTTGTTCATTACAACAGTGTCTTATTAAGACCAATAATGATTTGGAATGCAAAATACCTAGAAAATCTACTTCACATATTTAAATGTGATCATACACACAAAGCCTGCCACAACAAAATATCACAGACTAGGTGCCTTAAACTATAGAAAATTATTTTCTCACAATTCTTGAGGCTCCACGTCTTAAGATCAAGGTGCTGGAAGGGTTGGTTTCTGCTGAGACCTCTCTCCTTGGCATGTGGATGGCTAATGAACGGTGTCTTTATTTTTCATTTTCTTATTTAAATTCAGTTAGCCAACATATAGTACATCATTAGTTTCAGATGTAATGTTCAATAATTCATCAGTTGCATATAAAACCCTGTGCTCATCACATCACATGCCCTCCTTAATGTCCAATCACCCAATTACCCCATTCCCCCACCCACCTTCCCTCCAGCAACCCTTTATTTGTTTCCTATAGTTAAGAGTTTCTCATAGTTTTTCTCCTTCTCTAATGACTTCCCATTCAGTTTTTCCTCCTTTCCCCTATGGCCCTCTGTGACCTTTCTTATATGCCACATGAGTGAAACCAATTATCTTTCTCTGATTGACTTATTTCACTCAGCATAATACACTCCACTTCCATTCACGTTGATGTAAATGGCAAGTATTCATCCTTTCTGATGGCTGAGTAATATTCCATTGTCTGTGTGTATGTGTATACACACACACACACACACACACACTCACCCCACATCTTTATCCATTCATCTGTTGATGGACATCTCAGCTCTTTCCACAGTTTGGCTATTGAGGACATGGCTGCAATGAACATTGGGCAGCAGGTACCCCTTTGGATGACTGCATTTGTATCTTTGGGGTAACAATCTAGTAGAGCAATTGCTGGGTTATAGGGTAGCTCTATTTTTAACTTCTTGAGGAATCTCCACACAGTTTTTCAGAATGGCTATACCAGTTTGCATTCCCACATGCAGAGTAAGAGGGTTCCCCTTTTTCCGTATCCTTGTTAACATTTGGTGTTTCCTGACTTGTTAATTTTAGCCATTCTGACTGGAGTCGGGTAGTATCTCATTGTGGTTCTTATTTGTATATCCCGGATGCTGAGAGATGTAGAACATTTTTTTATGTGTCTGTTGGCCATCTGGATGTCTTCTTTGGAGAAATGTCTGTTCATGTCTTCTGCCCATTTCTTGACTGGATTATTTGTTTTTTTGGGTGTTGAGTTCGATAAGTTATTTATAGATCTCAGATACCAATCCTTTATCTGACAGGTCATTTGCATATCTCTTCTCCCATTTTGTAGGTTGCCTTTTACTTTTGTTGACTGTTTCCTTTGCTGTGAAGAAGCTTTTTGTCTTGAAGTCCCAACAGTTCATTTTTGCTTTTGTTTCCCTTGCCTTTAGAGACATATCTAGCAAGAAGTTGCTGCAGCTGATGTCGAAGAAGTTACTACTTCTGTTCTCCTCTAGGATTTCGATGGATTCCTGTCTCACATTTAGGTCTTACATCCATTTGGAGTTTACCTTTGTGTATGGTATAAGAAAATTGTCCAGTTTCATTCTTCTACATGTGGCTGTCCAGTTTTCCCAGCACCATTTATTAAAGAGACTGTCCATTTTCCACTGGATATTCTTTCCTGCTTTGTCGAAGATTAGTTGGCCATAGAGTTGAGGGTCCATTTCTGGGCTCTCTGTTCTGTTCCATGATCCATGTGTCTGTTTTTGTGCCACTACCACACTGTCTTGATGATTACACTTCCTGTGTCTTTACATGCTCTTCCCTTTTCGTGTGTCCTAATCTCCTCTTTTTTTAAGGACACTAATCGATTGGATTAGGGGCCATCCCAATGACCTCATTAACATTAATTACCTCTTTACAAAGAGCCTATCTCCAAATACAGCCTTATTTTGAGGTACTGAAGGCTACGACTATAATACCTAGATTTTTGGGGAACACAATTCACCTCACAACAGAGTGATATTCTATAGCTATATTATTTGTATTATATCAAGCTCTGTAAGTTTGAGCTACGTATGGCTTAAAGGCCTTCTTATTTAAGTATGTTTTTCCTCAGTCAGCCTGCCATAATTCTGTCGGTAGCAATTTATTCTCTTAAAGCTTTCCTTTCTCTCCTGAGATTTTGCTGAGTACTGCTAAGAAGGCCTGGCAAGGATGAGAGTGGGAGTTATCACAGCTCCTCCTCTTGTTAATTGATAAGCTAGGTTGATTAGTCATTTCCCAAAACCATGAGAATAAGATGCAGGAGACATAGATTTTGAAGAGAAAAAGGTCTGTGACAGCATGAGCCCAGTAGTACTCAGAGGAAAGAGGAATGAACAAAGTGACAGAAAGACAGTTTGTCTGTCAGCCATTTGCTTGGGTTGATGCTAGTTTCACCAAGAGCTACTTCTTCCAACATGTCTACCAGTGATTTTGCAACACTGGGACTAAGTCTCGGAAATGATGTGTATGTACCAAATTACTGAATAAAATAAATTCACTAATATTGACTAACAATCAAATATATGAGTAGGCTCTGACTTAAATGACTTCACTCTAAGCTAACTGAACAGGGAGTTATAGGATTTGAGAACTGTCTGTCCATTTGAAATGGAGCTTCCTAAATCCCACAAAATGATACTCTGTGTTCATACAATTGAACAGTTGACTAAACTATATTTTCTTCTTGATTTTACATACTAACCATTGTTTATCATTAATATTTTAGTTTTCACTTATTCAGTCTAACATTTATTACCAGGATCCTTAATTGATAAAGAAATTCATTCTTTCCAAATCATTGTTAAAGAGGCCATTTAGACAAACTCGGACCAAGTGTTTCTTTTGCTTATTACTGCTGTATTTACAAAACAAAAAACTTTAAACAAGATCCCTCCATAAATAGCCCAGAATTCACTAAACTCTGTCAGAGGTGCACTCCTTTTATATTAAAAGTCATCACTACAGTTCATAAGCATTCTCAGAATGTAGTTTCCAAGACCAGCTGTGAGGGTTTAAATTGACCTTTCAACATACTGACATTCAAAATTAAGACAATGTCCATCAACTACACTACCCACAGAGCAAAAAAGAGACATGATATCATAGCCACAATCTCCGGATTTGTTAACAGTTATGGCTATGTGTCAGTTTGAATCAGTGAAGGGATACCAGACTGCTCCATGCAGTTAGCTTTCCCACTGAAGTCATTTGCGGGGAATGGCAGAGATTGTGACTGCACTGCAGAGGACATCCCACTGTACATGGGGCAGTTAAGGCATCTATACTTCTATAGATGCTTAATGATTAGCAAAAGCCAGAGTATGCAGCATGAAAATCAGGGTGCACTTGGATAAACAACACTCTGGTTTTTTATAAAAATGTGTAAGTTCCACTGCCCCATTTCCCAAATGTGTCCATTTCCACACACCTGATTTTCCTAGATTGCGTTCCTCCTCCACAGCGTAAAGACCTCAGCTCATTGTGGATTTTGCATGGAGACCAGTGTTCTACCACCCACGAATACTGATTGCATTCACTGTAGCATGGGACTGCCTCATGCACCTGTCAAGAAGAGGAAATGAAAAGAAAAAAATTATGTGGAACTATCCAAGTTATATAAAAAGAGCCTATCTTTTAGAAATGCCTGCTGAACATAACCCAAGAACTATACTCTGGCTAAAACAGCCAAATTACACTCCCAAAAAGCAAGATGTATTTGGCTTCTCTGAAATTACTGACTTGCCTAAAGAAACATACAGGGGAAATCAACTAAGACATGATGGTATGCCTTCACAGAGGAGAACAAAAGACAGTCATTTCCTACCACTGAGAAGAGGAATTCTATTACCATTTCATTTCCTCAAAGACCTCACACAGCCATCTATTAGATGGTCCAGCTCTCAATTATACGGCATACTGTATTATCAGATGTACTTTGAGATGTCAATTAAAATAAATATATGTAAGGAAAATTTACTCTTGAATATAAGAGGTCCTTAGAATGCATAAGAAAAGTGGTATTATTTGCACCGGAAATTTCTTTCTATGTCCCCAAATGATCAATGGTAACAGGCAATCATTTAGCCTCCTGGGTATTGTGGCTTCATATGAATTTAGCTATTTGTAGGATGTAGGATGTTTTCAGAGCACAGCTATAACACACACACACACACACACACACACAAGACAAACACTGCTAGACTGTTAGAAGCTGGGCATGATTGATTACTGACTGTGAATATTTACAATTTTATGGTAAAACCAATGATTACAGTAAATGAATTCTTAGGTTACTTCCTATGCACTTGTTGGGGATGATTTTTTTTTCACCTGGAATTGTATCCCATTGGGTACTCAATTGAGTTTGCCTCCGTTTTAAAAACTGAATTTAAAATGCATTACTCAATATAGAGCACAGCCCTCTCCCTCAGTAAGAAAATGTTTCATTGCATGATAGGTTACTCTAGATCACAAAGATGATTCTAGTATAGCCTGCTGATGAAGACTGATTCAACCTATTACCAAATTGGTTAATTAATGCTTTTCCTTTTAAATAAGAACTTAAGCTTGAGTTCTTTTCTCCCATTGCCTTTCTAATTCCAAAAAATTGTAAATGATGACTAGGCAGTGCTATGCAAACAGAACCATTACTTGCGAGTTTCCACTAAATGCGAGGGAAAGCACTATGTAATGGGATAATCAGAAAACAAGATTGGAGTACTGTCAGCATGTTAGATGGAAATCAAATGAGAAAAGGTTATTTGTGACACTACATCTTAGGAATCACAAATAATGTCAGAAACTATTTTTAACTGTGTCGTTCTATATGGCTCTCTCATGTAGAGCACATAAGGAAAAGGAAAAACCACAAAGTGAAAAATATGTGAGGGCAAAATGAAAGGAGATGGGAAAACAGAAGTAGAAATGGGTGCAGGAGAGGAAGGAATTAAGTAATAAAAGAAGCACATTTCATGCTGTGAATGCTGCCAAGAATAGAATGAAAGGTTTGGAAGCAGAACCTACATTAGAATAAGGAGGTAATAACTTGTAAGGGAGAAAAGTCTGCCTGACTCCTAGCATGGTAGAGGTAAGAGAAAAATCTACAAAAATGGAAAGACATGACCCCAGTGGAACAGACACCTGGAAAGTGAGCTGATGACAGCTGCGGGTTTAGCCAACTCCACTCTACCACAAAAATGAGCACTGAACTGAATTTGTGGGCTCGTTCTATAAACTTTTCAATATGTATCAGACAATTTAAATAAAGCTCTTTGGCTTTCATATGAGATACATGAAAGTCTGCCAAAGCACTTGGTACAGACAGGGGGTAGATGGAAATATTCATTAAAAAAGTATTTTCCCATGCCTCATGCATAAATTTGAAGGCAGATGGATGGAGTATCCTGAGAGGGACCTATTTTTCTGAAGTTACCCATACTAAACAGAGCTTACATGTCCACCCTACCTCCTACATAAAGCCCAAAGACAGACAGAAAAATGAAAACCTGTGTAGTTGCATGTTGCTCTGATACACACATTTGAATGTCTGGTTGTATATTTGATTTACTATTTTTACTCTTTATGCTATGCAACTTATACCTAAGCAGAGTAGCTAACCTCAGTGAAAAGTTGCTGGAAGATAGGGAGCCTATCTATGTAGGAAGATGTTGACTCACCCTTTTAACTAATGGGTGTAAAAAAAAAAAAAATACCTCTTAAAAAAGATTCACTTTTTTAAGAATTTACTTGGATTTACTTGATTTTTTTTCCCCCACACGTGTATGTTATTTTAATATTGCTCATATTGTTACTTCTAGATGGTAAATCCGTACCCTTCCTTCAAAGCCCAAGTAAACCCCAGCACTTCCACAAGGCTTTTCCCATGACCCCTAGTTGACATGTTTTGGTATGACAGTCTCTGTTTAAAGCAGACTTGTAGTCAGATTATAACAACAAGATGCACTTGTATCGGGGCTGGGACAGTGCTGGTTGTTAGAACCTCATTGTGTGTTGCTGGGGGAACAGACACATTTAACTCTTAGGTCTTTCCTATTTCTCACACTACTTTAGCTCTTTTTCTCACCTTGGTCTTAATGTCTACTTCTTACTTTATATAATAAGTCTACTTTTTTACTTTAAATAAAACTGAGAAAACAAGCTCAAAGAAACACAGTTTGTACTTTCCACACCTAAGGATGCTTCTAGTCCTAACCAAAGTCAGACCCGGATAAGCAGCATTTGTTAGGCGACCACTTAAAAAGACTCTTGAGTCTTAGGCAGGCAGAAACCTAGTTTCCATGATGTCTGTATTTCACAAGACATGGGGGATGGAGGGGCTTCAATAAGTACTGGTTGAATTGAAAGGGGCCCAGGTTGCTAAATGACCTTCACACAATTCTCTAGAGAACACAGGTTCCAAACAGAACGTGTAAGGGGTATTTTACAAAGCGCAAAGGACAGTAAGAGGGAGCAAAACCAAAAACCTTTTCTTTCCACCATGGGGCTGGATGAAGAATAGCAATCACTATGCCATCAAAAGGTGCTGCTTGATGATTTTGTTATAGGAGAGAAAGGCTTTTCCTTAAGAATTGTGAGAACAGTCTCCTTAGAGTCCTTGTCCATTAGGCATGGAACCTTATTGAGAGGATTGAAAACACCCACAAGAGGCAAAAAGTGCAGCAGGCATTCAAGAATAAAAATTAACTACCCAGCTGGCCAATTTCTTCTCCTGTCAGTCCTTTATGTTCTGGCTATTTCATGTTGCTATTTAGTTGGTGCTTATTACAGTTTTATAATGGGAATGTGTTAAAGCAAGGACTTTATCAAGGAATCATATGGAAATGTTCTGAAGGAGAGAAATGAGCCATGGGAAAGTTAAATGAAAATCATTCGTAAATGGCACAAATTAGAAAGAAAATAACAGGGTCTAATAGGGCCATAGATGCTAAAAATGCTACTGAAAAATCTAAATTCTCTGAGAGAGGCAACATTTCCTTCTCTTAGTAATGAGTTCTATTTATTACTTCTTCAGTGGGGAATTGTGTTTTCATAATTTTGCTAGTTCCAGAGTCATATCATAAACTCATTCATTGAGTCGGTCTTTTAATATTTATTAAATAAGTCTCTGCTCGTTGTAATTGATCATTTTAATTAAGTACTATTTCCTGATACTCATCTCCAACTATAGCAGACTTCCCTGGCATAAACTTGGAAGCAAGGTCTCTCTCGAGCTCAGCAGATGTTACCACTGCATATCAGAGTCCTAGGGTTCAAGGGCTCAAATAAAGCAAACAAACAGTAACCACAATAAAAACAAAAATAAAGAAAGGAAAACTCATAACTTCCAGTTTTCTATACTAAGACCCTTTTCTCCAGTGAATCTGCAATCAACACCCGTGCAGAAATCTTCAGGCTGAAGACTTCCATGCCGCGCACTGCGGTTACTTGGTAGAACTTGACAAAAGCCCATCTAGGACGAGAAATTCCTGCAAATCTGAGCCAGGGTCTGTACCATTGGAAGGTGAGAGGAAATGGTCTTTTGGGAGTGGTGAGATCAATAAAGCGCTAGGGGTTCCATTCTCCCTCAAATGTTATAAGCTTTTAACATAAGATGTACAAATTTGCCTCAGGTCTAGGACTCTCATGTCTTAATTCAAAGAACAACCCCCCACCCCGGCCCAGCCCTTCTCTAGTTGTCTGTTTCCTCTCTTTCCTCCTCCAGGGTTCACACTTCCTCTTCAGAAGGGTCCTCTATATTAAACCCTCCCTCAACCAAACTTTGCCCCTTTTCTCCTTCAGTCAGCACTAAATTATGTACTCTTCCAGTATGAATGTCTGCATGACTGGAAAGTATCACATTTAGGCAAGTAAACTTTTCTTCCATTTGTGTTAATCATGCATTTATACCGGTCTGTATAAATATAATACATGTGGTGCTAAATTTCAGTCCTCCTGCAACTATACCCACTGCTTTACCATGTGCCCATCATTGGCCCCTGGTTATCAGTGACTCCATATGATGCTGTGTAGAACTTTAGAGCTTGTATAGGACATGTCATGCTTCAGGTCTTAATCATCAGGATCATTTGAGTTACACAAGGTTATAAGAATCCCTATTTCTAGGTCAAAATAAAGAGAATTTAAAGATGCTTAGTCAGTCATTCATGACAGATTCATGACAGATGAATGACTAGAGTAGTGCTCAAATGGAGAAGAATTCAGAATCCCACTCTGCTGATGCAAACAGTGCATGAGTTTTGCCTGTTTAGCTTGTTTACGCACATTGTCATGCTCAGAGAATATCTTTTCAATGAGGAAGATAATGCTAATATTTATCAATTCCTAAAAAGGGAAAAACAAGAACAAAAACAGAATTTTCATAGATTTCTACAGAGTAGATAATGTCTATTACTATATACACATATCGTATACATTATATATATATGTGTGCGTACACACACACTATGTAAACAACTGCACAAGCAATTCATCCCAAGGCTTCAGGTATGGCATCTTTTTAGAATTTCAAAAAAACTAGGAGGTATCTCAGGAAACCTACTTTC